TGTACATGTTATACTCTGTGTTGTCAAATCTGGAAAAGATTCAGAGTGGCTCAGTCATTTATGTGTTGTTATTGTTTTCCATGTACGTCTGCAAGGAGTTAACTCCCTCCACACATACTTTGCTCTTTCATGCCGATCAAGCGAGTCTGGCAAGGAGACACTTAAGATGCACCCTAAAGGCCCTGACACACCAAGCAGTCACCAGAGAACTCGCCGACGTCGGCTGTTGCGTCGCGGTGTTCTCCTGCGTCTTGGCCATGTGTCGCACGGGAACACACCGCAAAGACTTCAGTGCGTGAGTGGCAATAACTCTCCTTACCAGCAGGCGGCGGTAGTGTGTATTCATCATTAAAAATAGGCAACAACCGGAAGACAGAGAAGAAGAACAGACTGCGTGATATAAACAACAACAAATAGCGTGTGCAAACTGCAGCCTGGTTATGATCCACTGCTGTCTAGAGATGTCCCGATCCCGATCCCCGGATCGGATCGGCCCCCGATACTGGGTTTTAAGGTGGATCGGGATCGGCAGATCCAATTAAATGTCTGGGCCGATCCATAGTTAATATTTCCCATGATTCCATTGTTACGTTGTTTGTCGTTGTTGTTCTATTGCATCAGCCGCCATTATCGAGTTGGAAAAGTGGAACGGACACATATCGTTAGCTAGTTAAAATGTCTGCAGTTTGGCATCATTTAAAAATAACTACAAGTGAGTCGCCGACTGCGACATGCAAAGTCTGTGGTGTGGAAGTCTCACGAGGTGGTGCTAACAGGGTCTCATACAACACCACAAACCTAATAAAACATCTTAAAAAGCACCACCCCGACGAACACGCTGCCTACTATTTTCTTAATCTCTTTCATTTTTTGTAAAGCACTTTGAATTGCCTTGTGTTGAAAAGTGCTATATAAATAAACTTGCCTTGCCTTGCCTTGCCTTGCCTTGCCTACTGTAAAGCAACAGCGTCTGCGACTGATGGACTCCATCAACAAATACTGCGGGACAGCTTGAAACGAAAGGCTTTACTTCCTCGAGACTCCGAGAGATTTCGCAAGATTACTGAGCTGATTGTGGAGTGCATAGCAGGAGACGACCAGCCAATTTCACTTGTGGAAAACTCCGGTTTTTGTCGTCTAATAAATTATTTGGGTGCCTGTCTATTTCTTAATATATACGAAATTAAATGCTGTTTGCCAACACAAAAAGTAATATCGGAAATCGGTATCTGAAAACCGGTATCGGGAAATATCGGGAAATATCGGGATCGGATCGGAACCTATATGAAAATATCGGAATCGGATCGGAAGCTAAAAAATGAGATCGGGACATCCCTACTGCTGTCTGCCCGTCTTTGGTGCTCCACAACTACCCGAAGGGGCAAGTCTCCTGTACCGGGTGTACTGGGTTCGCAGAGAATCCCACTTCTTCCTCAGCTCTTTCTCTGAAGCACACAAATAAACGATGTAACCATTGTGGCTAGTTAGCATGTCCAATTCATATCTATATGCAGTGCCAAACTGCACAGCTAGCAACAAGATAACAACAAAACACAAGGTTGAAATAACAAATTACATTTCACGTTAACGTCACTGTACGCTGGCAAACAATAAAAAGCCAACAATATCTGCTAAAGAGCTCAATTGATGAAAAAGATAATCTTACCCGAGAAGCCAAGTTGCGTTTCAATCTCTCGCCAGAGTCTGGTTTTCACTACTCGGTTCGAGTACCTTTTCTCTGTGATGTCGTACAGAGCTGGCCTCTCCTGGATCAATGTGATGAGCAGGTCTTCGTTTGCGTCATTCCAGATCGCCATGATGAGATGAAAATGAATATCAGTCTGTGTGTGCCTTCTTAAATCATTTGTTTACGTCCCTCACTTCCGTTTCGCTTCTCATGCACTGATTCGCTAGCTGAACAGCCAATCAGAGTGATTGTTTGGTCCGACTGCCAGACCCGATGCATGGCGGATTCAACATGTTGAATCGGCCATGCATCGGGACAGGCAGTCCAAATAAGGCGTGTCATGGTCGACGGTGCGGGACACACCATATTGAGTTTGGGCGACAGGACACGCTTCGTCTCGCGACTTACGAAAACAGCCGAAATCGGCCTGGTGTGTCAGGGCCTTAAGTCATTTTGTTCTGGAACCGGGCCTGCAAAGCACACTGTGTTTGTTAGTGAATCATACGGCACTTGTAAAACTTGTTTATCTTGTTTGTGGAGCAGGGCTTGGAGTTGCTATAGCAACTCCAACAATTGGCCTAGCAACGGCTTAGCAACCCCATTGTTTTGTTATGAAAATGTATCTATATATATTTATACATATTCTCGCGAGATCTATCAGGGGTCGTTGTAAGTTAAAGCGCGAACTGTTACTTGGCTAATGTTGTTATAATTCTCAGTATGTGAACACAGATCGAAAATGGAAAGATTTCTTACAAGTCAGCGTAAACGACCGCGATCTCCAACGGAGCCGGTCCAGCCGGACAACCCTGCTATCCGTGTGTGCGTGCGTGTTTGTGTAGGTGTGTGTGTGTGTGTGTGTGTGTGTATGTGTGTGTGCGTCTTTCTGTTTGCGGTGTGGTGATGAGGTTAAATGCCACAGCATGCCAGTTGAAACAGTGAACGATTGCTATTGTATACTTGTACACTCAGGGTGTAATGGTATTATACAAAAATATTGTAGGAGCACAGAAACAGTGTTCAAATTCTGCTTTTACAAACTTATTTTGCTTGTGCTTACCTTGCAAAGTAATGTCATAAGTATCAAAGGAATGTTTTAATGTAAATATTAATGATAATATTGTAGCGTGACCAAGTTAATAGTTATTTCAGTTATCAGATGTGCACAGTTTTGTAATTTTTAAAGTTATTTAGGCAAAGTTGTTGGTGGGAGTTAGGGAGAGACCGCCCCTTCCAGGTGTGTGTGTGTGTGTGTGTGTGTGTGTGTGTGTGTGTGTGTGTGTGTGTGTGTGTGTGTGTGTGTGTGTGTGTGTGTGTGTGTGTGTGTGTGTGTGTGTGTGTGTGTGTGTGTGTGTGTGTGTGTGTGTGTGTGTGTGTGTGTGCGTTTTCGGTGTGTGTGTGTGTGGAGGGAGTACGAGACGGTAGGAGTTGTGTTCGAGTGTGGAGAAAAGTCATAATGAGTGTTATACTGGTTCTGTAAGACGTGGCTGTGGCTGTCAATACCAGAAAAAAAAGAGAACGTTTTCGACATTGAAGGCTCGAGCGATCTGTGATCTTGAATAGCAGTGAACGCTACAATATGAACAGGCTCGTGTTTGGCCCACTGGTATTGTTTGTTTATTTATTTTGAAAATTAACTAGCAACGCCGTGCTGTCATATAGCAACTGCTAAGCTACTGCAGCAAAAAAATCCTGGCGCCGCCCATGTTGTGGAGTTATGACATTAGCTCCAGAGTTATGCTCGGGGGACTTGGCACATATTGAATGTTTTTGTCATGATTGAGGCGAGGCGAGGCAAGGCGAGGCGAGGCGAGGCGAATTTAATTATAGCACTTTGCAACACAAGGCAATTCAAAGTGCTTTACAAAAATGAAAGACATTAAGAGCATAAAACACATTAGAAACATTAAAAGATAAAACATGAATAACGCATGTGAATAGTTCAATTAAAAGCAGCGGCAAAAATAAAAGTCTTCAGTCTGGATTTAAAAGTAGTAAGAGTTTGTTTGTAGCCTTTATTTAACCAGGTAAAATCCCATTGAGATCAATGATCTTTTTCAAGGTAGACCTGCAGCACATTGGTTACACAGAAAAACAACAGAAAACAAAAAGGACATCATACAACATAATTACAGGGGTACAAGAGTTGCAGTGGATCTGCAGGTTTCTGGTAGTTACATTCCAGATATTTGGCAATATCCCTAACCCAATTCTCACATTCCTCTACCCCTAGTCTTCCCGTGAAAGTATAGTTATTTTGACACTTTTCTAACCTTTTCATATTCCTTTCATCTTTCTCTTTCATCCATTTTGCATCTCCAGACAACAGATTTTCCCCTGTGTTACTGTTACCCGAATACATCTTTGACCTTTAAACCACTTTTCTTTTCAATTCCCAGAATTAGGATTATTAAACCTGTTTTAAGACTTCCCTCATGATCAACATCCCAGTGTATAAGAGTCAGATATTCATAATAATCATACGAAAATGTGTAACAGCTCAACATATGGCTCTTGAGGAATGATAATAGGCTACAGTTTTGATCCAAGTGCAGAGGGTTCTTGCCTTCCTACAATGCTGACCTCGACAAAGAGGCCAGCCACACAAATCGGTTCTGGCCCAGGAAAAGTAAACTACTATGTAATCCACTAATACTTCCTTCCGAAAAGAGGCTGTATGTTAATGTTTGACTATGCAACTTGGCCTTGATAAATAAAGATGGAAGGACAACAAATTAAAGCTAACTTAATACAGGGGTCGGAGAGGGCTGGCCAGGAGGCTAAGAGGAAACCCTCGTCCCCTGCAGAGGGACCGACAGGATAACAGAGAGCCCTGCTGGAGCCAGATGAAGGAGGATAAAGGTCCCTGGTTTGGATTTATGTGACAGGTGTCATGACAGTGTTTGATGAAGAAGATGGAAACAAAAGGAGTATGATAAAAAAGAAAACAGGAGCTCTTTGGAGTAGCGAGTGTTTGCAGTTAAATAGGATTTAAATTATGTTTTCTGTGTCACTGTTCACTGCTAACGGCTTTTAAACTTGGCAAAAGTGTGACTTCTCTATGTGTGTGTATCTATGAGTATTGAAAAACACAATATATCAGCAGCTTTGATGTAGGCTACAGAGTTCTTTTTTTATCAACTAGTACATTTTTCAAAAAATGACAAGAGCATGATGTGTACAAATGCTATGCCGGAAAAACAATTAAAGTTACATTTCATCAAGCTTTTATATGGTGCAGGAGTTTGTGAAATCATTTTTCTTCATTACACGTACTGTATATGCTCATACATATATAGAAATCAAGAAGCTATGAGCATGTCAGCTGTTTAATTAGCATAAGTAGCAACATAATGTGAATTTGTGTTGTTGCTCATATGTGTTTGGAAATAATTTGAAAGTGTTTAAGTAGGAATAGTCAAGTTCTCTCAACCCATACATTCATCAGAACAAAGATTTAACTATAAAATATGTTTCCAGCTAAATAAAGAACAGCACTTCAGCAAGCAAAAGTGCAAATGTGCAGATTTGTGATGTTAAAATGTTGCACCGCAGAACAGACGAATTACATTCTGAAATAAACCATAATTTTCATACATAGGTTTGGCCAAGTTGTTGGTTAAATGGTAGCATCTCCTCAGGCAAGCTCTACTTCTCAGTGATCAGTGTGAGTAGCAGATGTATCAACTCGACCCCAGATTGCTGCGATGGAGGTGATTCCTCCATGGGTAGTGCCACTGATGAGGACCAGCTCGGCACCCTTGTGGCTGGGATACATGTTGAAGGAAGTGCCTGAGGGCTGGCCTGCTTCAAAATGGCGGCCCTTGCTAGTTACGAACACCACTGACTGCACGTAGTGACTGTACATCCCAGAAATCTGAATGATGGCTTCACCGCCAGACAATTCCCTCTCCTGTAGCTGGCCGGATGTCGTACCCGAAACTGAAGACCAGGTGAAGCCGTAGCGGAACTGGAAGCTGAGGAATGAAGTGTAACAATGCTCAATTTAAAGTCCTGCATTCAAAGTACGAAAGCATCGACATCAAAACATACTTAAAGTAGCACAGGTAAAAAAACTCATTATGCAGCATGTTCCATTTCAGAATCATACAAATATAATATAAAATAAACATTGATCGTATTTTAGTTATTGATGCATTACTTCAATATGGCACTTGGCAAAATACTTATATGAATTACTTTACATTCTACTGAGTTGCCTAACCTTTAATAAAATTGTTTTATTTTTTGTAACATTGAACTAAATCTGCAATGGTTGCTAGTTATTGATGCAGTACAATATATGCAACATAAATGGGAAAATACTACATTTTTAAATTACAAAAGTACAAGTACCTTATGTTATCAGGTTTGATCTGGTACTAAATTAAACAGGAACAAATTCATAAGTGAACTTCAAATGTTTAGTGGTCATATTATTGCAATAAATACCTGCAACCAGTGGATCAAAACTATAACATCTGATGGTGTCTTTTACCCAGTGTTACATTATTTTTAATTTAAAAAATGCTCTTCAGTCCTACCAAAAGAATGATCTATAACATTTACCCTCGTATGTAGGACGACTCCCACACTCGTACAGCTGTGATTCTTCCCTCCCCAATTATACTGAACGGAGAGCCACTCCCTGACCCCGCAGGAGGGGAGTAGGAATAGCTCTGAGTCTCAGCTGCGACAAGGAGACAGACAAACATATTATGAACATGAATTATCCTTATACATTTGATTCATGAAGGATAATGTACTCATGGAAACTTACGGTCAGCTATAGCAGAGGCTGCAATAACAGCGAAGATAGCAAGAAAAAGCATTCTGAAAAGAAAGAGAAGAGTTATTTACCCTGCATCTCGTTGTTAATAATTATTATTGACTATAGACGGAGTCTCACCTGTCTGATTTGTTGTTTCTTCTATTATCAAAAGATACCTGTAGTGGATAATACAGAAATATAAATACATCTGTTCAGTCATTCTTGTTTACTTACATAATACATTTGGTTAGTGATGAGTGGAATTCAAAAAATGATACTTGCCGTTCAAGTGTGCATTACAGCAAATGAAGCCTCAGCATGTGTGCAGCTACACTCTCCTAATATCTATATTTGGAGTGGATAAGATAATTTATAGTGCAACTGCATTCAGAAACAAATCCTGAACAGTTTATTGGTCCTTGCCGAGTTATGACGTATCAGACAGGGAGGGAGGTGCGTGGGTATTTTTGTTGGTGGTTCGTCAGGTAATTCCTTCCAGTCAACATCTTCATAATCTAGGTGTAAATATGATATGTGCCAAGTGTGAAGTTAAACTTATGTTGTTGCAATGTTGAGGTAGAATGAAGGAGTCTGTAACGTCGTTAGCCAAAACACTGAGAGTTTTATTGAACACAGTACAGACAAATACGGCCGGGAGATCATCTTAGTTTCCCACCGTCCCTTGGTCCACCAAAATCATTTCTGCCCAAAAGCCACAAAACATCTAGCAAACACGAGGAGAGGCGGGCCCGCAGAAGCCCGCGTTTACCTAATCAATAGCAAATGGGAGACAATAATCTACTTGTCTCAAGGAAACGCAGACAAGCCTGAAACCTTCCCCCCACAGGATATGGGAGAAGCGTTTGACCTGTGACCTCAACTTACAGAGGAGTTTTTGACTGATACTACAAGCAGATGTTTGCAGTATCACAGATTCTAAGAAACTATAAGAAACTCTATAAATAGATCAGATTAAAATATTCTCTTACAGATTCACTCTTTTTATCAATCTATTGATAAGCAATTAACATTAGTCTAAGAATATTTCCGTCAATACGTAAAATCAATAAGCGTCTTCAGAGTTGGGTGGGCTCAGATACATTCATTACATTAAAAAGTAGAACAAGATTGAAAACACTTCAATCACCATGATTGAACACAGTCAATCATAATAAAAAATCATCTCTCTTCGGTGCTTGGCATTTTTTGTCAAAAGGCACAATAATAAACACATGGGATACAAAATATTACAGCAAAATATATGTTTAAAAAATAAGATCTTTTATCATTTATCACTCAGTTAATCTCATTCATCAAACACAAATTCTAAATCAGCTTACATCTCAAAGATTTACTTTAAGGCAATTACTTATTAAAACACAATTAGAATTTAGGATTATAAGAAATCAATTGAGGTATAATTTAGGATTATGAGAAATCCAATTGAGGTATAAATCAGAATCATGAGAGATCCATCTAAGGTTCCTAGTTTAAGGTATACATTCACAGTGATGAATCGATCAATCTGTAAACTGTAAAGTTACAGTGTCCTCAATCTTTAACATTACTTTACGTTTACTTCATTACGCTTTATTCAAGAGTAAGGCACTTAGTAATACATTTATTTCATTCAAATACATTTGTTCAAAATCTGAAGAGGAAAATCAAACATTTTATTTGTATAACAACCTGAAAAGGAAAAATCAGACATTTGTCCTTTAATCCAGTGTATCAACTGTAATCAATTATCAAAACATCTGTTCTTTATTCAGAATATCAACTTTAAACAACATCTCAATCACTGAATGGAGGTACCCACGGGTCAGAGATCACGATGGAGACCCAGGGGTCCGGAAGCTCGGCATTGTACATTAATATTGTGTCCTTTACAGTCGAATGCCCAACTAGTCTTTGTGGGGCCTGGAGGGCGGTCTTGGCAACCCTTCGTATGGCTAATTTAACCACAGTGATCAAACAGATCACTAGGATTAGCACAACCAAGATAAACACTGAAACAGTAACAACAAATTTAACCAGCCCCGCTCCCCAAGATCCAAAAGTTCCACTTAATTCCCCAAATGTAAACCCATGAGTTTCATGCAATTCTTTTATTCCCCTGGCAGTATCATGATCCATGTCCATAACTTCAGGTGTGGCATCAGATATGAAAGAACAGCATTCACTTCCTATCACCTTGCATGTTCCTCCTTGGGCCGCTAAGAGGAGGTCAAGCGCCATACGATTCTGTAGTGCTACTGTCCTAACTTCCTGCAATTCTTTGTGTTCAGCTAACATCGCTGTGTTGGATACATTTAAATGGTGTTCTACAACTTTGGACAATGCGACAATTTCCTGCTGAGTAACATAAATACCGTACCAAGGCAAGAATAGGCTAGCTATCTGTTGTCCTTGTGTAATAGACCTGCTGTTCCTGTGTAGAGAGGGAAGTATTGCTGCAATCTCAGTAGCCTCTACTTTACGGATTAAAGGGATTAGGTAGGCTAGATAACAGGTACCATAAAAAATGTCATATGGCACACAGCCATAGGCCCGGTCCCCACAAACTAAGTAAACTCTCTGTGGGAGGGGAATTCTGGCTATATGTACTCTCACTATGGCGTTACAGTCGCTGTGTCCCACATCAGGAGAGGTGTGAGATCCTACTGCATTCTGGAAACAGATGGACACATTCTTCCATTCATGCACAACAATTGGGGGAACATATACTGAGCAGTCATGTGTAGGGGGCTTGCCTAAGGGTATTGGCTGCGTACAGTCATGTATTTTAACTAGGGCCGGGACTCGATTAAAAAAATTAATCTAATTAATTAGAGGCTTTGTAATTAATTAATCGAAATTAATCGCATTTTTAATCAAATATAAATATTTGACCTGAGAACAGTGAGAAGCAATTTTTTTCACATGGATTTTAGTATACCATTAGGCGCATTCACACCGCAGTACTTTTCCCACAAAGGTTCATGAGAATTTAGTTCATGAGAACTCTTTGAACCTGGGGGTGGATTAGGCAAATGAAGCCGCTGACGTCACTTCTTCTTCTTCTGCTTTGGGTTTACTGGCAGGCCGCAAACCACTTCACGGCGTATACTGCCGCCCAAAGTCCCCGGCCGGAAGTCCCCGGAGTTGGGGACTGGCTTCAGTAGAAGCTGCTGGGAGTCCCAGCAGCTTCTACTGAAGCCTTCCGAGTAAATCGCCAGAACGCCGACACCTCCTCATCTCCACCGCTCCCATGTTTTATTTTGTGTTGCCATAGGTTAGTCTCTCTGTGTTTCTGCGCTGGGCTAATGCTAATAATGCTAATGCGAGGATAATAAAATGGCGGCTTCACAAAACTTTTTGGGAGTTTTACGGGGCGTGGTTTGCAATCCGCCCAGCCAATCAGACATATAGCTCTTTTCTCACAAGAGAGCCGCACCAGAGCCATATAATAGAAGAGTTACGACAACGGAAGTCCAAAAACGGTTATCGTCACGTGGTTCATGTAGAAGAGGATCGTTCCCCGGAAGTTCATGGCGGGCAATGTGAATGCATTGATAACAGGAGATAGAACTACGATTTTTGGTAATTATTAGTGAATAAAGGTTTTGATTTGCAATATTTATACAACAAATCGATATGTGTATGTATTTACATCAATATGTTTTTTAAAATAAAATAGAATTTGCTAATATTAAGTGATAATATTAGGATTAGTGTGAACAACTAGTTTACATGTTAGGCTAACAGTGCCTTGGTTAAAGAGCCTGTTGCTGTTTATTTATAGCTTTGAATTCTTTAAAACCAATATTATCTTCTTAAACCTGTATGGTAGTCAGGAGCATCACTTTCTAATGTTTATTGATATATTTAGAGGGAGGGGATCTAAAGTAATGCTTTAAAATTCAGATTAGATTCATTTCTACCATTTTCTTAAATTCATGGTAGTTTCAGTAAGCCCATGGTAATTGAGGACACAAGTTATCTAAATGACTAATGTCATCTTTATGGCTTTCAGAAAGGACAGGAGACCGACAGGTGACTATCAAAGGACTAGCAGCAGCAGCATGATGATGAAGATGATGTTAAATGTGTTGTTTTAGGAACATCCATTGCAAATACATGGAATTCAATAAACATTGAATAGCATATCATGCAGTTTGTCTGTGCCTTTTCCTCCTTGTTGTCCTGGTTTGCTGTGCTGCCTCCTAGTCGCCACCATGGTTTGCTGTGCTGCCTGGGGATGCTCAAATCGCTCAGAGAAAGGAGTACGAATGTACAGCTTCCCCACTGACACAGAGCGGAGGAAGCAGGAGCAATTTCACAACCAACAGCAAAAAAATATGTGATTTATATACAAACACTGCATTTGCACTTTTTCACAAAACGAAAACCACACCATTGGGAAAGCTTAATGTTTTGTTTAATACAAAAAACAGGGAAAGGCTTGAAAAACACAGAGTTGAGACTCAGGGTGCAGGGTGAGGGTCTCAGTGCAGGTATTCAGGCTCCATTGAATCCCCCTCTGGTTCTTGTGCTGAAAGAGGGATAAACAGACAGGAGAAAGGGTTATACACACCTATATAGCACACCTATATAGCACACCTATTGGATGGGAAATTGCCTTGGGGAGATAAGGTGTGGTCTTTGTTCCCAACTGAAGTTATGGAACTTTATTATTTGTGAGTTTAACAAAGTATGACAAATGGCATCAGTAACATATGTGATATGAATTTCTATAAAGTTGTCTCACATTCTTGGTCATATTGTATATACAGTATGTAATGAGTATAACATGTCCAGTAAGTATAAAGTGTTTCCTAATACTGTGTATTCAACCACTATGGAATATGTATGTGGGCAGACAAAACTGAGTTGTTCTGTGTGTGAAGTAACCTCAAGTCACTCCGCAGGCACATTTTGATGCAGACCAGTTTGTCAAGACAAAAAAGGGCAAGACTAGGCTGAGAGCAGAGGCGATACCCACCATCTTCGTGCATCGCCCTGTGGTCAAAAAGAGAAGGGCCCCTGCACCACGATTCACCCCGGGACCTGTATCTACAAAGCCCATAGCTCATGATCACAGCTATAGTGTGAAAGGTGACACAGGTATAATAAGTATGAACTCTTAGTAACAAAAGTAATATTTCTTATTTTTAAGTGGTATAATATTTTAAATGTTCGAACATTTACAGTGCCATGTCTTCTACTTACATTAGTCTCAAAGATTGAGGGAAGAAGGGAAGGGATCACTGCCCTCCACCAGCCAGAGGAGCGCAAACAACAAAAACAAGCAAGGTGTCCCGTCATGTACCTGGAAGTTTGGGTTGGCAAAATGGAGTAAGAGAGG